GGAGAAAAAAGATACAAAATTCACACCAGATATTTCTACAATATTTACAATTAATTTTTAACTCTTTAATTTAGACTTTCAGTCTCAGATTAATATTTAGAGTGATTAAAAAGCAGGGTAAGAAGGTATTTGATATAAGTATACATTCAATATTGATGAGGAAAGAGACATTAATATTTGAACACAATGAGGAAATTAAGTCTATACTTAGAAGATTTGTCCATTACAACGGCTTTAACTTTTTCCCATTTTAATTTTGACTTTCTGTTTCAAACCAATATTCAGAGGAGATAAAAATCTATAAGTTGAATGTATTATGTATAAAACAATTTTAATCAAAACGAGACTGGGCCTGTTGGCACTTATCTATTTACCTTGTACAAGCATCCTGGAACTTTAATTTACATTTTAGTTTACTTCAATGATTTCACATTGATTAGAATTTAATGGAGTGACTTTGAATGCAGACTTTGAAATGCAGTTGAATGTACAACAGTCGACTTTTGCACAGTTCCTAAAAAAATGTAAGTGTAATATATTGTATAAAGTATATATTAGGCGAATAGTTTAGTATTGTGTATTTGTGTACCATAAGTATTAGATTGATCATTTATATTGATTGAAGTGTTAAAAATACCGGTGACTCAGGAATAATATTCTGACTACTATTTCTTAAGCCACAAAAATCATCTGAAAAAAAAATATAAAACAATAGTTTATAAAACCACATATAGACGGTACCTAATTGTAAAAATTAGTATTTAAACCATTTTAATTTTCATGCCATAATTAAACTTGAGTTTTTATTAAAATATAATCATTATTTTTTTTAGAACAATACCCTGACTAGAAGAAGTTGCATCAAATAATTTTCTTTTCCAAGGAATATTTGAACTCATTATTCGACAATATTCTAGCGCCATATAATCATTAGAAGATTTTGATAAATGACCTAGATAAAAGTTTACAATTAATAGTCAATTTGGTAACACTAAAATTGTATAATTTTAAAATGTACCTCTGTTTAACAATTTAATAAAAATACGAGGGTCCAAAACCTTTACTTTTTTCCTTCTAATCTTGGTCTGAATTTGCAGTTGAAAGATCAGATGTCTCCTCAGCTTATTTGACTTTCGATTTAGCTACAAAATAACTGGCTATCCTAAAATAAAATAACCAATTAACAACCACTCTCAAAACAAATTACCAATTATCAATTTAATAGACTTCTTACACCAATGCCTTATTTTAAGGTTCTCAAAGGAAAATAAACAAAATCAAAAGTATTTACGATTGATCTATAATGTATATGTTTCCGTATACCTTTTTGGCCAACCACAAACATATTTTTTTACCCAATAGTTGGGAACAGATTCAACAGCATTTTCATTAGTGAAATGTACCACGGTCCACATTTTGATCCATTTACTGAAAATAAGTATAGTTTGATAATTTTTCTTTCAAAGCTTTTTTTCAAAATGATAATGTTAACATGCTCAATTATACAATAAAATATAATAAAGGTAACTGTAGTTTACAGCAACTAGAAAAAAATTTAAATATTTAAATATATTCAGAGATAATTTAATCATTCAAACTAATTAACAAGAAGTATTAAGGGGTATGTAAATTATTTTTATGTTATAAAATACTATAAGTACTTGTTTTACGTATTTTATAATTTTGTTTGGCATACATCAAATACAAAAAATCACCTTGGTAGAAGTTTTCAAAGAAAGGTATTATAATTTTAGTTTAATAGAATGAAAAATCGTCTGTATAATAAAAATGTATAGGTTCCTATCTAGTACATTAATACAATTGTTCTAAATTTATATGTATAAATTAAACAGTTAAAACCGATATTTACAAAAAAATTAACAATCAACATGGTAAATATTTTTTTTTATATAAGCTTAATTTTCCAAATACGATGAATGTAATAAAGAGATAGCAATGCAATCCTTATTGCATGATGATATAACTTTATTTTGAATATCATTGATATTCCATACATATAAATTATTATTATTATTTTATTGGCTAAACAAAACCAATTGACCAGTGCCATGTGATTGAGCAATATTAATTAATTTTACAATTTCATGAGTTTTAGAAACAAAACAAGAATCAGCATCTATTTTATATTTAATTTTAAAACTATGCAAACTTAAAGAACTCAATTGTGGATCAACACTACCACTTAATAAAGGTTAATCATTATGTAGTCATAGGTTGTACAATTTACAAGAGGCCCATAATGTATATAATCATCGACCAACTGAATTAATCCATAAATATTGGAAGATACAAGATACTGTCCATAAATTTGTTCAAATGTTTCAACACAAGGTAATTTAACAAATCATCAGCAAAGTCTAAAAATGATCTACATTTAGGAAACAATAGTAATTAATACTATAATTAAGATCATTACATCAGATATTGTTCAGTGATATTTGAAAAGATATGTGTTCATTTTTTTATACAATAACAACTGATGAAATTGATGGATTTGAGAACAATTCTAACGTAAAATATCAAGAACTTGCAGACCATACTTTAGTTTTCACGTTAAGATAAATAAAAAAAAAAATTCAAGGAACTCATTTCTCATCCTTTTTACAAAGAACCCACAGATAATTTTTTAGTTGTATGCCTATTAAAAGAGGCAGTAATCCTCAAATATTTGGTAGTTCTTATCTCTAATAATTTTGTTATGTTTTAGTTAGTGAAACAAGTCAACAAAGTCGGATTGTATGTTTCAGCAATGATTTCAGACCTAGAATGAGCAAACAAATTTTTTTTTAAATTTTTAAAAATGATACTAAGGCTGTGGAATTTAAATTAATAATATTGAACATTACGTTCAGCTGGTTCATTTATTTGATGAATATAAACAAATATATGAATTAAAAAAATATTTACAATTCAACCTTGATGGTCAACAATTGGTCGAATTTATTCAAAAAGGAGTAACTATTATGTTTCTTTTGTTTGTGTATTGAAATTAAATTCAACAAATAAAACTCCATGTATTCAGTTTTCAGAAGTGTTAGTATTGTTGTGAAAAATTATTATTTTCTTGTTAAGTTTAAATACAATTTTATCCAAATGATAATTTTTCAATGTTATAATTATCATGAAAAAAAACAAGTTTTATTGATTTTCATGATTTGGTTTCGATATTATGACAAGTTGGAGTGAAAAACCATTGTTGTTGTGGGTGGTGCACACGTTTATTATACACCACGTTCAATGAGCTCAATGAATGAAATTGTATCCCCTGAAAGAAATTCATTGGGTTCAGTACATATTTCACCGTTAATGTTTATAAATTGTGTTGGGCCACCAATTGTTAAGATTAACACAACAAAATGGATTGAATTATGGGTTAAAAAAGGCAAACAAACAGCAGAGAAAGAAAATTGTCCTAAAAAGATAAAAGTTACTGAAGAAAATGCGTACAAGTCATGGTGGAATTTAATTAAAGAATAATATTTATTTTTGTTATTAATATTATTAATATTTTATAAAATAGTTGTATGGTAATAGCTAATAAATATTATATAATAATAATACCTTTATAGTGTCTTACTATATGTGCGGGGGGTGCGGTTGACAAAATCCACAACAGGTTACTTTACAATTCATCAGCTCTAGAACGGTGGGTTTTCAGAACGAAGATTAGCATCTGTCTTCAATTTTTTTTACAATTTGAGCACTATACATAAACACAATATAATCAATTATAAAATAAAGTTAATGACTTCATTATATAAACTATTAGGTATTTATGTTAATTTAAGTATAAATGAATCACACAACAGAGCATACATACAACAATATAAAAACAGTTTAACATTACTCATAGCTCATTAAAATAAAATCCAGTGTACTATTTATGTTCAACAATACTCAAAGCTATAATATTAAAATGGATTTATAAAATACATCAGTCAGTCTAAAATATACATTGTACAATATTTATTATGTACTACCTTTGAGTAAATTCAAACTCCAAAAGACGTCGACTGCGCGATTCTGACACTAACGGGTGTCGGAAAATTAAACCGGTTCGAGAAAAAACTAAAAGAAATAAAAATCCGCGCCACGGACGACCGGCGGAGGGCCGGAGGCACTTTTGGCGATCGACATCTCGGACGCCACAGATGGCGCACGAAAGAAAACTCAACTCTAGTGAACGTAAAACTCTACGAAGAACGCGAACAGAGCACGAACGGGGCCCTAAAAACAAGTCGCAAGTGGAAGAACGGGGGGCGAAAAGGAAAAAAGTCAACGGATTTCGAAAAACCCGACGCGTCCGATAACAGATGTGATATGGAAAGCGGCCCTGACCGTCCGGTCGGTGGGCGGTGGAAACAGGAAACCGGCTCGGTACTCGAGCTTTGGCCGAGCGGCCACACTGTAAACACTCATTAATCCATGGCGCTTGGCTGGACTTTTCTCAACTACTACCAAAGACCTTTTGGTTGGTTTGCTATGAGCCTCGTTGTGAGAGTAAAACAAATTTTTAGTTTTGATAATAATTCAAGTTTATTTTGCGGTAAATAAATGAGTGAATAATAATTCGTATAAAACAATTACAAATATCGGTAGAATAATACAAAATACAAAAAAAAATTAGTAAATAATTGGCGCGAAACAACTTGGTTTTCGCGTTCCGACGGGCAATACGAAAGTATATAAAGGAAAACGTGGTTTTTGCGTGCGTACAGTTTTTGAGAGTCACTCGTTTTGGAGGTGCTTTAGCGTCGACATACGTCTTGAAAAAAGAACGGGTCGGAGGTATCGTGGAGGCCAGCGACGCTCGGTGCGCGCTACGGTTATAGTCAGAGAGGAGGAGGCGCATAGCTGTTGACAGTGGGTGCTCTAATACCGTGGTTACATTTCTTATCATTCACAACATAGGATTTGACCAAAGTCAACCGACAAATAAAAACTTGTCACAAAGCTAAACTTTTTGACAATTCATTACGACACGATTTGCGTACACAAATTTACGGTTGGTAGTATTGTACGATGATTTTATGTCGGTTGGCATTTTGGAATGCCACGTCGGAGATCAGTTCCGAGACCGCCACCGGGCTGCGCCATCGGGATGTGCCGCATCGGGATGCGCCTATGCCTGCGTCACGTATCATTGCACGAGAGTTGTCCAACTATCAGTAACTATTATAGACTCATTTCTTTCACCTTCGTTTGATCTTGTCAGTATTTTCAAAATAACAATAAAGAATGGCTGACAACGAAACAGCAAGTAAGTTAAATACCTAGCATAACCTAGCCTAACCTAACCTAACCTATTAACACGGTTAATTTGTTAAATTCGACAGGGTAATTTACTACAATTATTATAATTTAAGAGGACGCCACACCCGCATGTGTTGTCTCCGTCTTACAACATACCTAATATACGCTCGGCAGTTAATGTTTTATGCCTTTAACTTAAATATCAGAGTGAATCGACCTATTATGAAACTTTATGGTAAGGATTTTATCGGTGTTTTGTTGGAAGTTCTTTTACGTTCATTCAGTTTTTAAGTGAGTTATGAGCATTTTTAATTTACAAAACTTCTTACAACACACGGATAAAGTTCTCACTATCATGTTTCATAATGGGTTGATTCACTCAAATTTTTAAAACGTAAACTGCCGAGTGTAAATTTAGTATGAAGGCGCGTCCGCACCTGATACATGCTCACATTAAATTGTATACGATGAATTTGCATGTGGATGGTAAAGTAAGCAGATTCAAACCGCGCAAACATGATCGCGATCCATACTCAGCACGAGCCACTGACTGTCGGTCTAATGGCCATGCTCAAAGGAAATCGGCGCGCGAGTGGTGCTCATCTTGAGCGTGCTCAGGTGTGGACGCGCCTTTACGCGTTTACAAGACGGAGACAACACATGCTGGTGTCTCGTCCTCTTAATACAACTGAGAACGTTTCTTACATATATATAATATAATGACAAACTACGAAAACGAAATAAAATTGTTTGATTGAAAATCATGATCGCTTCTTGGTCGGCGTGATTTTTTTTCGCATTTCCCTATTTGTCATCATAAATTTAGTGCTTCGCGGCACCAGCTTCAACCCTGTCTGTTTACTTGTTTTATTTCAATATCGAACACAGCCGTTGGTTTCATAAAGATCTACTGTTCGTTACATGATGCCGGGTTTTCATGCTATCGTTGTTACGACACACACCGCGAAATCGTTCCGTCATCTCCGGAGAGGGAACCTTTATCGGCGTGACGTCGACGGCCTTTTGCCCCACCGCAAGCTTATCCGTTGAGTTGTTGCTGTTGTCACCGTTGCTCGCACACACCGTTCTTAAAATTTTTGCACACGCTTCTCTTGTTTGGTCGGATTCACCAGTGTTTTGTTCCGAGCCTTGATTCCGAAACAAAGTCGGCCGGCGCCGTTAATGGCTTCGCACCAACCGCCCGATCGCCGTTCGTAAGTCGCCGCTTAATGTTCATCAGCCGTTTACGCACTCCGGTGTTACTATCGATTTTTGTATAGTCGTCGTCATTAACGCCATCTTGGCTTCCGTGTCGTGCCCCTCGTTGCACACACAAAACCGTGTTACGTTTGTGGCCACCCGTGCCAAAACCACGGTAAACAGTCCGGTGATCGTCCGCCCGCAGTGTGCGCAGCGCGATTCACCATATTCGGCACGTGTTCTCGCACTACGCCGTATTTCGGCTGTTTATTCGCTCTTATTGTTGTTGTGGGAATCGTCGCAACCCGGTAAACCTCCACCTGCTGAATATCGTCGTGTCGGGACCACGGTATCACCAGCTATCAACTAGTGTCACCGTTATCAGGTCGTACACCTTCGTGTCTTGTCTTGTTTATTTGATATTTATTTATTATTTTCTTTGCCTATCGGTTTGTGATCGAGCTCTATTAAAATTACTAACATTAGTCTCAAGTCATTTATTGCAGAACACGAAATATTTACTGTTCTATACATTTCTGTTACCACGAAACATTTATAATCGCATAAATCTGTTCCTATTATCTTTTCCGCCATACAGTCCACTGTTATCACATACGAGTACCCTTACGCCAGCATACTTTCGAGCGCGGGCAATACCTGACGGGTGACGACAATGTCGACGCCGTCGAGTTATATGGTTGCCAAAATCAGGTTACCTCCTCACATTTACCTATATCTCGTAAAACATTCAGCATTTTGAAAACAGCATCAGGTATGCTTACCCATCATGGCATCACCCATGCAATTATTGTCCAATGGTCGTTGTGTCGATACTTCGATAGTACCAGAAGTGGTAATACCATTCATAAAACTATTTACCTCAAACCTGAAATTGTCGCCATCATGAACTCATATCAGAACTACGATAATTATGGTTATCATCAGGGTTCGGGACTTGATTTTTTGTAGTGATCGTAGTCGATTCTAAATTGGTTATAAATGTGTTTTATGAAATGACGAAATCAAATACTAGTAAGTTTGAATTTTTGCAAATTTAGTCATATTTTAGGATATTTGAGCAATTTTTAACATATTTGGGCATATTTCACATTTTTATATTTATATAAACGTAAAATTGTCGGGAAAAATCATAATTGGATGGTCGTTGTCTTTCGTATCTAACACTATTTACAATGATAGTCCCTTTATCGCTTAATAATCAACCTTTTTATCGACAATTGTATAGTTGTGGTAAAAATAAATGAATTCTAGGTTGATACAAATTTAGATGAGTAACCCATGTAAAAGTTATTTTTTATTATATTAAGTACCTGCCTAATTTTCAAATTTTTATTTTCTTAATAATAATTTATAATATACCTTATGCGTTTTTTAAAAACAAAACAAAAAATTACCTGCATATTTCGATAATTTTAAGTGCAAGGAGTCCCGAACCCTAATTATCATTAATGTTGATTTTATTTGGCACGATAAGTTTAGACTAACTTCTAACCATTAACCGATTTCATTCGTTAATAATCGTGTGATTCATACAAATCTAATATGGATTGAGTACAAAAAAGTGTTGACTCTTGTTTTGGAAATTTAATATTACTACCTAGAGTTGATTAAAAATTATAACATTTAATCATGAACTATTTGGTATACATTTAAATTGTACTAATTTTTAAATCACAATAAATACAAAACAAAATGTATGATGTTTTAAGATACTCCAACGTCAGGTGTACAGCCTGTTGTTTCTTTGAAAATTATATTAAAAGTACGCACACCAGATGGAATGTTTATGCACTTCAAAATTGCAAGGGCTACTCCACTTGGGAAATTAATGCAGAAATATTGTGAAAGATATGTAAGTATAAAAATCAAAAAGAAATTTAGCAATTGTAACCATTAAAATTCCAGTCACTGAATTATGGACTAATATAATTGCAATATTTTTTTTAAAATCTATTTAAAATTGTAATATTTTAGATTTTAGAGTTGACGAATGTCATATTCCGATTCAATGGAAGAAGAGTTGCTACCACTGATACTGCAGCATCGCTACACATAGAAGATGGTGACAGTCTTGATGCTTTTCACTCTACAAAATAACTACCTATTTAATTATATATCTAATTCTAAATATAAGGTGTATTAAATATATTTTGGATAAAATATATAATGAATACTTTATAAGTCAACGTTTTTATTCTTACTATTATTATTATTTCCATATTTCTCTAGCTGAACAAGAATGTTTTGATTTCATCAATAAGGTTTTTTGGTTAATATTATTATTTTAAATGATTCATTCAATTGTGTATATTCTGCTATCATTATTGGTGTTATTTATTTGATTTGATTCTTAATAAGGGTTCTATATATTGTATAAATTTGCCTATGTTCAGTAAGGACATGCTTCACACAATGTAAACAAAATCTTTGTTATAGTCTTCGATACATAAATATTTATTTTTATTTCATTTTTAAAATAATATAAAAACAATTTAGAAAAATTAATACCATTATTTCAACACTAAGGCTTCAATTCAAGTTTAATATATACATATATATTATTTTCATTATTAAAATAATGTTATAGCGGCATGCGTATTGTGAATCAAATTTCAATGTGATACTCAATCTATTTCAACATGTGGGCTAACTTTCTGAAAATAGTTTATGAATAATTATACATGACCACTCAAAAGAATAAATTGGATTCCCTATATTTAAGATTTTATTTTTTTGTTAAATTTGAGTTTTTGAATATAGATGACCGATAACTAGTGCATAATCAAAATAAAAAGTAACAAAGACAGGTAAGAAGTTTAAAGCAGATTCATTGAAAATGCATATATCTCACATGCATTGCATTATTGACCGATTAAGTGAAATTTTAATTTAGTAAATAATATTTATGAAAATAATTAATATAACAACTTTAAAAAAAAATGTGAATTTTATAATATAAAAATATTTGTAGGTACCTATAATTAATTATGCAAATGGTACCATCTGTGTGCTTTGTACTACTATACATTGTACCCTTCACAATGAATGGTACACAACTTGTGTTGTGATTTGTGATATATGCTTATAATTTCAGACATTGTTAGTTAGATATATCCAAGGCTGGTCATGAACGAGGCAAACTATATTTGAAGGCATACGTTTTATAATATATTCAGAGAGGTAATTATGTTCAATTGTTCCTAAAGCATGTGAACAAAATAAATTTTATTTAGATACATTTTTTGATGTCAGTCATTAAAAAAATATCATATTTATTATTTTTTTTTGATACAACTAATTTATAATAAATCAAAGTTAGTTATTATATTCTTACACTACTCGAAAGTTGAACCTTTATACTTTATACTTTTTCAATTGAGAAAATGACTATTTTTGTTTTAAATATGCCATTTTTAACATTCAATTAACATTTAAAATGTATTAATAGTTAATACAGAAATTATTCATTTCCAAGTAAAGTAGGTATGTTTCAATTATATGGACAATTAGCAAAAATATAATATCTGTTACTCTAAGTTCTTCAGTCTTGATTGAATAGTTTAGTTATTTTAATAGGTAACTATACTATGACCCAATTTTTGTTAATGCAACACATTTAGGTGTTTTTGATGTAAATAGATAGGTACGCAGAAGATAAAGGCAAATAATAACGAGATCGGATTTGTGTAATATAATAATAAGTATAAAGATTCAAATTAAGTATATTGTTGTGAGCCGTAATACAAACCAACAACAAATTGTCCAACATGCTTCTATGTAGAACGAATATGCTATAGTGATATAAAAATGTCTTTCAGCGTCTGCGGTAGTACAGTATTGAATAATTTATTTAGTCTACGTAATACAGGGTGTGTTGTTTATAATTCCAACACTCTGAACACTCCCTTAAATAATATACTCTCATATATCCATATTAATAACTTCTAACAACTTCCTTAGCTCATGAAACCGCGTCTGTGGAGTTGGCTTTGTCATAATGCAATCTGTTCCTTGCTGGATATGTAATCCAATGAAAACAGTCACTCCACTTTTATCTTATCTAATGGTAGTGAACATCAATGTGCTTAGTTCTACTACGAAACTCTGGATTATTTTAAGAGTTTAATCGAACTCTGATGGTCTCCACACATTGTGTTCACCATTTTCGGCTGGTCCAGTAATTCACCTATAAACAATTTTAACCAAGTTAATAGCAGTACTCAAGTACTGCTTGACTTGAGCTATGTACTCTGATACGATACTATACTAGTAAACTGTGTTTACTTCTATATTTATATTTATGAAACATTGAATTTTTAAAATACAATTTTCTTTCTTAACTAGATTTAGAAAATAAAATTTCCAAATTTATTATTAACATATAATTAATATATCTAATTAAATAAGTTCAACAATTTTCAGAAATTAAAAACCATGTTTGATCAACTAATAAAGAATCATAATTTAATGAAAATTTAACAATTAATCTATGTATAATGTTGAAAATATATATTGAACAAAATTTAATTCACTCTTATATAATTAATTTCAAACTTTAACAATATTAATTAGTTAACATTGTTCGCACAATTTTATTAGTCTTCTTTTTTTTATGACATTATGAAACCTAGTTTTGTTATTCACTTCAGGTTTAGGATTTTTAAATATTTTTCACTTAATGAAACATTATTATTAATATTTATTAAAGATTTTAATTAATCAAAATATTTATTATAATGTATTACAAATAAAAATAATAAAATAAAATATAGGTTTACCGCATATAAAAGATTATTCATTACTCCTATCCACGGCTGTAGATATGATGGTTGCACATCGACTATGTTAAATGGTATCCTATCTACATTCGTGGTTAGTTCTTATCAAATATGTTGAAAACCTATAGGTGCTTGCTGGCGCTGTCTAATATTATTTTTTATAGCACACAAATTACATACAAATCATATGGTGTAGGTGTTCATAATAAATAATAAATATAATTTTGAATTATTTTAATACAATTTATTTTATTGGTATTACAAAATATTATAAAGCTATTATAGAGTTTGATATTCATAATAAAATTAAAATTGTATTAATTTATTTATTATATTTACATATCCTAATAGTTAAACATAACATTTAATTTTTGAATCTTAAAACAATTTCATAAGGAAAAATTACAAACTAAAAATTAATTAATATTAGGATTATATTTACTCGCTTATAATATATTTAGGAAGTCACTAATTTCGATAATTTCTTCTTGGTCCTATTTAATTTTTTACTTTCTATATTTTTTGTGTAACTATACTGTCGCATTCGCATAGTAATAAACATTACTGAGATGTTAGTAAATATATCTGTTTAATGCAAAGAACATTCCCATTTGAGATTCCTACTATGGTTGTTGAAAAATTCTTCTTGTGTTTCTTCAAAATCATTTATATTATCAGCATATTTCTCAAAACATGATTCTATAGTTACTATAAAAGTTGCTGGGCACACTTATTAAATTTAAATGTTGGTAAATAATGTTATATATTGATGTATAGATAGATAGCTGTTCAATAATAGGTTCAACCTGTTAGCATGGGAAATAAATTTTAGTAGGTAAACAGAAATATCCTATAGGTATGTGTTATCAAATAAATGTTTATACTTTTCTCCTTTTTGATATAGATACGCTTTGGACTGTCAAAGAATTGTCCATATTTGATTTCACATCAAAATGTGTTGGTTCAAAAACCTATATTGAAATATTTTATAAATACTTTTTTTTTTTTTACAAATTTTTAAAACAAAAATTACTGATTTAAAAAAATACAAATAACCTCTACATTTTGGATTAATTCTTGAAAATTATTTCTGTATGGAATAGGAATTGCTCCTTTTCTCAAACTTAGTTGTTTACGACATATCTAACAGGTAATAATAATTAAAAATATATTTAACTACATAAAATGAATGTAACATAAAAGTAAGTCTTACTCTATACTTAAAATTGGGGTCTTATGGTCTCCAGACTCCCAGGCGGAGATTATATCATTGTGATTAAAATGAGCAGCACAAATACGGTGACTTTTTTAAATGAAATTTCTAGAGCTTTTTCCCATTGATTTTTAATTAAATCATCTTTAGGAACTCAAAAAACTGTTTTTAAAGACGAACAATCACGTATACAACATTTGTAAGGCATTTTATATATTATTTATCAAATAATAGAGAAAAAAGTAATATTGGCAAATGAGGAAAAATACTTAAATAATAAATACTACAATCAATATTGAATTATTGACTATATAGCATAGAGTAAGAATATATATATAGTTTATATAGTCTAAAAATAAAAGTAATTACAGATAGGTATAGCCTAATAGATTTACTATTGTAGATACTAGACAGCGCTATAACCAATTGCAGGTTTTTCAATAATTTTGATAAGAACATTTGTTTTACACATTTTAACGTCTCGATGTGCAACCATCCTATCTACAGCCGTGCTCCTATCGCAAAATAAGCTCTTTTAATAGACATGCTGGAAACCATTCGCCATTCTTCAGTATTGCAGTCAAAAACTTCTGCACTATCAAAACTATTTGTACCATCATGTCCGCTAACCTTGAATTTAGTAAATAATTATTAATTTATCTGTTATTTAAAACAGAGATAACTATATAAATGTAAATTATACAGCATAACATACAGCATAAAGATGATTATTTATTACTCCAACTCCTAATTCTTTTCTTTTAACTAACATATTCCACGATGTTTCACTCCAAGGTGTTTCTAATGATAAATCAAGTATGTTGACAGACTGAAGGTATGATCTCCCATTAACTCCACCCACGGAAAACAAAAAATTATCTTTTAATACCCCTAAACCAGCTCCATAATGGCGTGATATCAATGTTGGTCCTTTCTACCATCAGTTAATTTTGGGATTGTACCATTCTGAACTATGATTTGCTTTACTCCCAAATCCATCAACCACTAAAAACCTGTTCAAATGAATCAATAAAATATTTGAAAGAAAGATAAATTTTTAAAGAAATCATACTTCATGTAAACCACTACTAGGCAGTCTAGATTTAGTCCCTATGTTTTTTGGAATGGTGCAGGTAAGCAGATCTAACTGATCTGACTTAATAATATGAAAATTTAATGCCTCAATTAATCTTTACCTTTAAAAATTAAAATAACATAAAATATAAAGTCATACAGAAAAGAAGCATATTTAAAGAAATAACTTACATTTATGGCAATTATTAAGAAGAGGTTCTTCAATTACTTTTGTTATTATGTAATTTGTCGATATTAATGGTGAAAGTACGTGTTCCATTAATTGGGGTAAAATACATTTTCTAGAACCCAATTCATATTTTAGCCAACGAATAACACATTCAAATAGCTACAAAAATAAATAAACTTATAAATAGGACCTGGATGTAGATGACTATTGTATTTTTTTTTTTTTTTTTGAGAATCCTCTACCTAGCTAAGTGGTTCCCAAGCTTAAAATTTGTTTAAGTAAGTTATAAATCAATACAAATTTGTTTTTATTTTGTTATTTGGACTTTTTTTTTTACTTTATGGTCAATTTTTTATTTTATTTTTGGTATTATAAATTGAGAAAAATGAAATAATTTATCATTATAATATTTTTATATTTTGTAGAAATTGAAATAAAAACAAATTTATAATTTTAATATCTATAATAAGATAACTGCAGCTACGGATTTCGTAAATTTTAATTCTAATTTTTATAGGCAGAGGAATATAATACTGTTAAGAGGACGCCACACCAGCATAAGTTATCTTCGTCTGGAAAGAACCGAGGAGACTATGGTGATAACAAAGAAACCAATTTTTCAATATGAATAAAGATAAAATTGAACTATGTAGTAATGTTTTTATTTTTTCAATAACACAAATATATCATAAGTTATTTAAGTTTTAAAAACATAAAAATATCAGATTTTTAAAAGTATTATAGGATTTTTCTTACTAACGATATCAAACAAATAAATACAACACAGAAAATACATTATCTTCTATATTTTGTACACTTTTGGTGTCTCTACTAGGAGTACAGATAGTGGTTCTATCCTGAGGGAAATAGTTTTTGCTATATTGTACATTTGTAAGACAGAGATAACACATGTAGATGTGGCGTCCTCGACTAAAATACTAGTCCTCCTGGCAACAATTTTAGATGCGTTTATGATTTCACTTGATCAGAATCTAAAATGTTTACTTTTAGAAAATTACAGGTTTTGAATATTAACAGTAAACTTGATTTAATTTTATCTACCTATACAAAAAACACTAAAAACAGAAAAAAATTTATTTTTGTGTTTTCTAAAAAAAATTTTTAATTTAAATTTAAATAAAAGTACTCATAGTTCTCAGAAAGGTATAATTTGTAATTATTATCATAAAAATCAATAAGTAATTGTATTAACTCTATCAATTGCAAGAGTGTTTTTAAAGGATTATTAACAGGTAAGGTAATTGAAGTAATTTTTTTTTCAGTTCAACAACATTTGGTCGCTTATTAAAAAATAAACTAGATCATAAATGAAAGAATTTAAATATTCCACTCACTAATACAAAAATAATAAACAACTTCAGGTAACTCACTTTTTCTTCAGATGGAACTACAAGCTCATTACTGGAGATCACATTAACTGCTTGTTCAGATGTTAAGGATAGGAATTCATCAGCCTCGACCACTTCTCTAAGAACTAAAATATACCAATAATAAATACAATTTACTTATAGAAACATTGTTACAAGCAATATTTCATACGAAAAGTGCTGTTGAATTATAATTCTGAAATTGTTAATTATCTCTTATAGCCATGCAAATCAGCTAACACTTTTATACCAAGACAATTTGTAGGATGTAGTTGTTTCTATAAAAAATCACAGCATACCTCTTTTATGTCTTGTAATTTCAAGATATTGGATGCTGGTAACAAAAGCTTGAGAAATAAACAATAAATAATTTAAATAATGTTGTAGTCTAAAACAAAATTAAATTTTATCTATTATTACCTGAACATTATTTTCAGTGACCATGATTTCTCCGGAATAAATGAAGTCTACTAAGAGTTGTAAGGTGGTAGAATCTATACCTTGTATAACAACAACATCTTTATTTTTTTCTTCAAATTCTGTGAAATGGAAATATGGATTAATCGATGGTAAAACCACTTTATGTCCAAATATTCTAGTCCCATCATCTGTTCCGAGTTTAATATCACAAAAAAACTCACATCTAAAACAAAAATTTGTTACTAATATTTATCTAGCAGTTTAACATCTACTCACACCTACTCACGTAAAGATTTTAAAGCTTCAAACATTTCAGCATAAGACGATTTTTTATACTCATATCTTGCTGGTTCACAACTACCAGACGTTGGTATTTCTAGTAGATTTTGCATTGTAAGTTTATAAAATCCATAGCTTGGAGGTCTTAGCACAACAACAGCAATCAAATATGATCTTTATAATATTAAAATGATATAAAAATAATTAAATTAAATAGAGCAAAACAGCTAGTTAAAAATGAATCATGAATAGATTATGTATCCTCTACACCGTGCTGCGACACAGATAAAGATAACTATTATCTATACAATATGTGTGTTACCAGAACTTACTGTGTACCATGGCTTAAATATACAAGGTTATTGCAATAGTACCCCCACTATATCATTTTATCACGTTAAGGAATTAAAATGGCAGCGTAAGGGGACGACGTATACAACTATACTGGCTATATTATGATATTATATGCTATGATATGGACCGTACCCTTACGCTGCCATTTTACTTTTATTTGATAACAATTTGGCTATGTGCAATAACCATAGACTTAAAGAAATAGACGGAACATTAGTCCCGAGGACTGGGTGGCGTGGTCGTGCCAAACGGATTAAGAGAGACAACATTAGTTTTATCATAAGAGTGAGAGAATTGGCCTCTGCTCCGAGGACAGCCAATTAGAGCGTTCGTTCAATTTTATTATTTTCTAAATGATAAGACAATTATTTGTGATAATAATATAATATTCTTTATATTTTAAAATACAAATTTCATAATTTAAGTTGAAATTTTCAAGTTCAACTCATTTGTAAAATATAATAAATTGTTAATTAATATCTGTTAGACTTTTGTATTTAAATTTTTCTTTGTAGTTTGTTTTAAAACTAAAAATGTTTCCTTGATAAATCTAAAATAAACATATAAAAACAATAAAATAATTATTATATTTCCTGTTATAATAAATATTACATTTTCAGCTAAAGTTATTAATTAATTAATTTATTTTATTAATTTATTGATTCATATGTGTAACTAATTTTGTAAATTTTTGCCTGAATGAAGATTTGAATACATCATCGTTTATCCTGGTTCCAATATGTCTAAGACGAACTTTCAAAAATAAATCTATAATCAGATTAATTAATTGCTCTCTATGATTATTGAATACTCTCTACATTCCCAAAAGGTATAATAATCATATTACATTTACGTAAAATACATTAAACACATTTTTTTAAACTTACTTTTCACCGTGGTCATTCACACTGGATAAAGAACTTAAAGAAGTACTAGTAGATATTTTTGGACTGTTAAAAATAATATAATAATAAATAATAACATTATATAGGTACTACACTTTTTGAAAATTTATAAATATTCTATCAAGGTCCAAATAATACCTATTTTCAACATATTGTGGTGTACTTGATTCTGAACAACTTAATATTTTATTTTTGCTATGTGAGGGAACATATTGTATTTCAATTTGGTCTCTAAATTTCAAAAATGTTTAACAATTATATTTATATTACATTGACATAAAATATACACATTTTCTTAAACTTACTCGACAAGTTTTGGGAGTGCATCCTTCTTAAGTCTAGTACTAACATAATCCTCTTTTTTAAAATGTGATGAACATATGTATGAATAATTAGGTAGTGTTCCTTTAATGTTGCATTGATTTAACCATTTTTGCCTCATATATGGATTACTAGGGAATCTAATTTAATAAAATGCACAAAGAACAATTAATAATAACTGCCACCCAACAACTACCAAGTTATTGACAGACTTGGGTAAAATACTTTTTAAAAGTATTTCAAATAAATATTCTGAATACTTAAAAAAAAGTATTCAGAATAGGTATGTATTCGAATACTTTATAATAATATTCCTAACCCTAAGTATCTAGAATATTTCACATAAAGTATTTCAAATATTTTTTGAATACTTTTTTTCAGTAGATTTAGATTTCAATACCAAAAATATTATTTTTTCAATTCTGTGTTTATAAAAGAAGATTACTATAATCACAATAGTACCTACACACCTATATGGCAATCTTGAATCTATTAGTCATAAATTATATTCAAATTAATAAAATTAGTACCTAATGCATAAGAGTATACCTATATAAGAAAAAAAGTATTCCGAATACTGTACTTAGAATACTTGTAAAAAATACCGTATTGAATACTTTCAAAAAAGGTAGCCAAGTCTGGACTTATTAGTTATTGATATATAATTCATCAAATAAATATACTTATGAAATGTTGCCTTTTGATCATTACATTCGCACACAATGCATGTCTTCATAACTGAACTTATTATTCAAATTTATAAATAATATTTATAATAAATGAAAAAACATAAGTTTAAACAATTAATAAATATTTATAAATTTAAATAATGTATTATAATAGGACAATAAATAGTTTAATAAAAATAATCTTTTATTTTCGATCTATTAGATAATAGATAATATTAGCCATTAGGTAATAACATAACCTACTTCAATGAATAATATTATTACAATTGTTCATAGTTTCTATAAGTAATAGATATTATAGATTATTTTTATTATAGATATATTTAAATATTGAAAATTATTCCCGCGGTTTTTCAACGCCCGATCCTCGGAACAAGCTCCACCCACTTGCACGCGTTATCATACCTAATGTTCCGTCTATTTCTTTAAGTCTATGGCAATAACCTTGTATAATTAAGCCATGCTGTGTACAATAAAGATTATCTAGGATAATAGCAGCATAATTACTAGCATCGAGCAGCCACGGACTTAGATATAATAGTAGGTGAAATGGTACGTACTCGGCTGAGTGTTTGGTAGATGCGTTATCAGTTCAGTCATTCAGTGTTCAGAGATTACAGGAAGCAGGCCTTGGAAATTGTGTTATTTGACCGAAATCGAGTGACTAGAAAACGGCATCATAGAGCCGTGATATATGTTATCAATTAAATATTTAATAATCAAATAATCAATAAATATATCAATATTATAAATTATTTGAAAAATGCTTGGCATAAATCTAGTTTAGCGCTTTTCACTTTTTTTCGAAACCTATGTAAATCAACGTTTTAAAAACGATGGTGCAATAATAATTTGGCGGAAATCAATAGTTTTTGAGATTTTGAACATTTTCAAATTTGAGTTTTTCGGCAATTTACTTAAATAAGTTATTTAAACACACTCTTGGTCGTTGCCATGTGGCGCAATGGTCTGAACACACTATTTGACGTTTACTGTTGAGTTCGGACCCGGCCAAAGAATTTATCGTTTTGCCTTTTTTAAAAAAAATTCGTTCCACTGTCTGCAGTCCGCACCGCCAAATAAACCCATCAGCGTAGTCCCCGTCTTGCCACAATTTCGCAAAATGACCATTTTACATTTGAGGCTATTATTTTTGGCAATAAAACCCCATAATTGAAGTTGTTAAATAACTGGAATTGACAACGGACCGTATTCATTATACTCAAATAATTTGAACTATTTAACAACGGACCACGATATGATAAAATAAAAACTTCAAAAGTATGTAACTTACGTGTTACGAATACTGCTTTAGAAACAGTTACCTATGAACCAAAGATGAGTATTACATTTTATTTACAGTCGAAAACATTATGTATCTTTATCTTAAATCATATACAATCTAACATCCGCATACGAACATTTGCACGTCCGATAACAAACATCGAATTAATGTATTATCATTGAATTTTTATAGCACCGAGTCACCTATATACACTCGGACTATTAATCCGAGTTATATAGATTGATCTTTAATTGCTTATAAAAAAATAGTGCTTATGCATTTTTTCATTACGTTTTTCAACTTAAATTGTAACTATGTATATGGATTCTTGTATTACATTTTCGAGTTTTTTGACACAACGAATACAATTTTATTTACATTTATAGAAAAAAAAAACTAAAATAATTGAAAATTGAAAATGTCTGCCAACAACTCAAAAAGAGTCAAAATATTTTTAAAAAATGTTCAAGTACCTATAGGAAATGGTAAAACAAACATTATGTGTACATTTCAAACATTCGTTTTTCAATCACAACAAAATAAGATAGTCGTTCAATAAGAAATTGAGTGAATATCCAAAGTTGTAAAAATTTGAATTTTAAACGCAAAAATTGAATTTGACTTTCCGATAGACATTTTGTTTGCTGAAGGCAGACATCTTATAATGAATCTTGTATCAAATTTTCAAATCATAGATTTAAATAGAAAAATGTTAATGAATTTTTAACACAAAATTATTTTGCAAATGTTCGTGATTTTGTATGTATTTTGTCAAAATTTTAAATTCAGACTCATAAAAAATTGTTCTGTATTTACGCTCATTTTTTTTTTAAATTTCCAACAACACAAACTTACGAGGAACCTTGTACTATATTTTCAAGTTTTTTTAAAACCATTTTTATTGTCGATATTAATTTAAAAAAAACTAATAATGATCGAAAATTGCATATGCATAACTCAACATTAGTCACAATATTTTGAAAATATTATAGTGTATAGAAAATGCTAATACAAACATCTGGAGAAATTGTTATGTATCTACCATTATTTGTTTTAGGTTACAACAAAAAACAAAATCGATTTTGTCGAAAAATTTTTTGAGTAAAAAACGCTTTTGAGTTTTTTCTTAATTTTTTTTAAAACTTCTAGAAATGTTGTATTCTGACCTCCCAAATGCACCAACTAGATTCACATTCCTACCGAGAAAGATACTGAAGTTGAAAATCGAATCATGTTTTCGACTACTTATTGTGTACCCAGACACAAATACAACAAAATCAAAAACAAAACCATTTATCATTCTAAAATCAATTTATTTATGGCTCCTCTCAGAATGAATCTGCAAAAATGTAATTAATTTGAATTTTCATGTATATAAGTATATTATTACAATTTAATTTTCTAAACAATATTCATGTATTAATAGCGGTGAACGGCCACCTTAATCCCCGTCCAAATAGACCCCATGATCTAAATGACCCATCGGGATCTACTTGACATAGGATCTAAATAACCATAGGGAACTAGTTGACACTATCCTAGTAGTTGAACTAAATTACCCATTTTTTCGTTTAGATCTCCCTTGATCTACTGGATACCCTCTTTGTGGCGGCAATATATATTATATAATAATATTATAAACTTAATTACATTTATTTTATACTTATAACTAAAATGTTTTGTATTCCATATTGGTCTTAATATTCATATAATACTCATAAAGACATCAAGTCATAAGAATAAGTCGTAACTCATGAATCATAAGACTTAGAGAATAAGTACCTAGTTAATATAATATTTGTATTGTTTTTATTATTTACAATTAATGCTCGAAAATCAAGGTTACTCGCCTCTCTTTAAGTCTTAATATCACCTAAGAATTTAAATATTTCCATATAACCGAAACCCATATTTTGAAATAGGTAACGCAAATCTGGTGTTAAAATGAATATTTTGTGTTTTCCTCTATAAAAGAAGTATGCAAGTTCTTGTGCTTTGATATCTAAACTATTGATACTTTTGTTTAGCTGTCAAATCTGAAACCGGGAATAGAACCAATTGCAAAGACTTGAATCAAATTTGGAAATTCTTTCCTGCGAAGATCCATTAGTTTATTTCGGACTTTCATAACCGTGATTTAAAACCGATATAGTACTATCTCTATTTTACTTCGTGGTTGGAGGTAACAATTCATAACCTTACTCCAAATATCAACCGTTATCTCTTATGCACAACAGCCACAGACTATATGAAAATAGATTGTGCAACAGCCACAACATAATATGAATATATAATCATATAACTAATTTATTTGTTTTTATTTCACTTGTCTAGTTGTCTCATTGTAGTTAGTAGAACATAACATTGTTACATTCACTTGGGTTACGACAAAGTATAATGGTCACCGTCTCACTGCAAAAGTGGCCACTCTCAACAAAAAAAATTGACGATGTTCACAAAATGTAAAGTCAGTTGGGGTGCTCTTATCAGTCTTAACTTGTATTAAACAAACAAATTACATATTTATGAAAACAAAACAATTTATTAACCAATTTAATTCTACAAATTAATTTAATACAATTTTAAAATTTTTGTTTTACAAAAAATGTTCTCTAATAGGAAACGAAAAAAGGAAGTCTTTTCTTTAGGCCAAGAGTAAGGAACGATTTAGTTCCTTTTGAACAAGATGAGCATTGAGCGTCAACGTGAACTTATTACGTAGGCGCCAAGCTGGGCAAGTTAGTTATTCTTTTTAAACTAGTAAATTACTTAGTTCAAGTTAAGTTACCTTGTTTCTGAAATAATTCAAATTTCTAACTTAGTTCGAAGATAGCTTATCGAACATAGGTAACTAGGTAAGTAAGTTAGAGTAAAAGTTTGATATTAGTTTTTTTTCTAAATTTAATTTAAAAACTGGTTTGTTCAAATGTAAATATGAGTTATCTATCTTAAATTATTGATGATGATTGAAAAATTAAATTAAACACATTCTTGATTTGCTAACTAATGTCAATTATTACTTTATTAGAACATAAAAAATAATGCAATACATAACCGTTATTACCTATATGGCTATATACCTCACTGTATACTATATAAGTATATTATATTAGTAGTAGAAATATTTTATTAAAAATATTTAGTGAATTTTAATAAAAGTTCCATTCCAGTAACTTTAAAAGTAACTTTCTAACTAGTTAATGCCCAGCTTTGACAATGTAACATTTAAATAGTAATAACTACCTAGTTATACCTATTTATTGTAAATACTAAATTAGAACAATCTTCTATTACGGAAACTTAATGTTAAATAATGCCTATATTATTGTAATGTTTACTTGTAGACTGTTAGCATTTATTTCAGTAATTTCAAAAGTATGTTTTGTATTTTATTTTTATAATAATTACTATTGTTGTGGACGTGTATTCGGATTCGGCCGTTACTGTCCGTAGTCAGTCAGTCCTTGGTTAAGTCCAGGTTAGACGTTGACTAAATTATTTGTTAATTCATACTTAAGGAATGTTCAACACAACAACTTAGTAGTTACCAATTTATTTAATTTATGTACAACACCATTATAAAATAAAAAATGTATAATACACTTGTCTAAACGGAATCGCTGGCTTTTCACTACTGTCTCATGAAACACATATTTGAACCAGCGATTGCGTCGAACAATGCATTATGCTTACATTGCTAAATATCCTCAATGTTACAGCCAAGGGTTCCCAACACTATAATTTAACTAAAAACTTCTTTATAACTATTATTATGTGGACTATTGGACTGTTGTCATTTGCAGTAATAGCACATAATATTGTCATTGAGTGCAGAGACTAAGTAATATTTTCTATACATATGGTAGGTAAGTATACTTACAGACTTGTATATGTTAAGTTTGTTAAGTTGGCATAATTGTTTTTACTTTGTTATCTTGGAAACAGAGTTTATTATCATGTGTTCATAAATTCATAATTGATTACCAATATATATTAAGTAGTATGTTTTTGCTACTCTAGCACGTAACACTTGTTTTGATCTTATTAAAAGCCAACAGTATAATATTTACAAAGTATTTGTAAGTTTTATTTAATCACATCTGATTATAATCACAATTGATAATGCAAATACGTACATTTGTTACAATTGT